AATTTGGTAAACTGCAAAAACCTGAAATGAGGGACCCGCCCCCCCCCCCCAAAAAAAAAGAAGAACAAAAAAAAATTAAAATAAAATAAAATCCATACTTCTCGTTTCCTATCAGAAAACCAACTGCTTGACTGAAAGGAAATAATTGAGCTTTTTTTCTGAATAATGTTTCCAATTTGTATGTCTTGTAAAACTAAATCTAAGTGTGATAAAGTGTATTATGCAGTTTCTGTTGTTCTCTCGTGTTGTAATAGTGACATGATGATTTTATAACACAGCAGTCAGGGAAGGTTTTCGATTTAAACCTAGAGATTGCACCCTCTAGTGTTCAAATAGTGCAACAACTGCTTCCTCAGCAGCTTGATGGAGCAGGTTCAGTTTTGCTCGTTTTTTAAGGAACCACGTTAAGCTCAAAACGTATCTACTCCCCTCTAAACCCAGTTCAAGAAAATAATTCAAAGTCAAAGGGCTTTATGATGAACTTTATGCTTTCTCTCCAGAATATCCCTAAGAATTTGGGGACTTTTCTACAGAAATGATGACGGGTTAAGATGAATAACACAATAACATTTTGCATTCTCATTGCTTGAAGCTTTATTTTTTACTTTTTGTGTAAACTTCATTCTTCTATAAGATCAGTTTCAGTACAGAGAAGGACATTATTTTCAGAAGACAACATCTACATGGAAATACTCCAGATCTAAGCTTTGTTATAATAACTTGAAGCATCTTTACAATAAAAACACTCAATGAAAGGACCAGAACTTAATAGAAGATCTGGCTATCCTTTGAAGGTCTGTTCGTTCGTGTCTACATCTTCTTCAGAACTGGTTTTGTAGTCAAAATCTTCTGTCCTGTTGGATATTGAGACACTTTAATCATAGCAAAGGAAGCAGAGTTAGTGGTTACGATGAGGGATATTTTAGATTGTGTCATTTCCATACCAGTGCAAGCCAGCGTCCAACAAGTGTTCACTGGCCAGCGTCCTGAGGAGGCTCCAGTAAGGAGCGTCTCTTCCAAATCTCTGAGGCAGCACCGGGCTGGGGGCATCTCGCGCCTCGCGGCACTCTCCACACATCTGGATCAACTCCCAGGACCTCCCGAACCTCTGGGGCATGTTGGGGCTGGAGTTGGGCACCCTCTCGTCGTTGCTGTCCCTGCCGAAGCGCAGCGGCATGTTGGCGTGCATGTGGAGCGGTTTGGCTGTGGGGGGGTACAGCTTGATGATGGTCGGCAGGCTGTTCCTGCTGGTGGCTGGGGTCACGTGCAGCTTGAAGCTCTCCAGATCCAAACTTCTGCGGAGCCCACTCGGTACCTGGATGTGTTAGGGTTGCATTTAATCAGGTCAAGTGGATTTTCAATGCGGGCCTTTTCGTCTGTGTTCTTCAAGAAGTGACAGTAGCAAAATCAACGTCTACTATTTTTAGTTAAGCTAAAGAGCAAACATTTAATGTTTATTTTTCAAAAGTAAAATGGTTTGGTGTTTTTCTTTTTGGTGCTATCTGACATTGATCAATCAATCGATCAATTAGTCTTTATTTATTAAGCTTTTTTTTTTTACACTAAATAACCCAAAGTACACATGTAAATAAACTTAAAATGAATTAGACAAACAGTTATTTTGAAACAGGAAGTGAGAAAGAGTTCCTGAAAATTATTCAAAAACAAGTCTTGAGTTACAAAATTGACTGATGACGATGAGCAATTACTCTAAG